GCAATGACATGTCATTGGTCGCCTCCATTCAATACATGTCAGTGGTCCCTCCATGCAATATGACATGTCATTGGGTTCCTCAACGCTATGACATGTCATTGGTCCCCTCCATTCAATACAACATGTCAGTGGTCCCCTCCATGCAATACATGTCAGTGGTCCCCTCCATGCAATACAACCTCATATATGACCTCAATCATGTCTACTGTGTTGTATTATGTTTGTAACCTTTTGTAGCATCCATATCAGGCTATGAGAGTTGTGAGAAAACTCATTGTCATATTGTGGCATTTATTTACACTATGTATTGGTTCTGCTCACCAGCATTCCCTCAATACCACGTTAGTAGGGTAATGACTATAGCATATACATTCAAGTCCACAGAAGTCAACTAGAGCAAAAACAAAATACTTTTCATATAGAATACTTTATTCAAATATAACAGACATTAACACCACATATTCTCATTCAATACCAGTACTGCTGTGGTAAATACAAACTCTGCCCCGATAAAATGGAAGCCAACAAGAAATACAAACCATTCCCATTATGCCAATGAATAGAAATATATGATACTAAAATGCCAATGATTAATATTTTTTGAAAGAATATTTACAAGACCCAAAAGAGAGAAATATTACAAAAGAGGCAGTAGTGTTGTTTTAAAGACACATTCAACACTGCAAGGGACACAACATTTACAACACATTAAATATACATATATATTTACATTATCAGTACATGACACACTCAACATTAAATCCCCAGTCATAGAACACTCAAGTGCTCCCCCCTCCCCCTTCCTGATGCAGCACCATATGCTTCAGTCAGCTGACACATCATTTACAGAGAAATCTAACAGCTAATAAGCCAAATCACACAAAACATGTACTTAGATATAACCCTCTCGGTTGTACCAGCAATTGCTAGATAAATTAAGCTGGACTTCACAGTGGGAGCTGCCAGATCTAGTATGGCTCTGCTGCCAAATGATAAATAGTCAAAACAGCATTGTAGATGTAATTGTACACCTATAAAGGTCTATATGTTAAAGCATATGATATCCATGTGCTCCATATATCAGTCTCAGGTTAAATGTCATGCTATATACAGAAGTCAGGGCTGTTTATTTCCTCATTGAGAGAACATTAACTCTGCTTAAACAACCTTGATTTAATACATGGAGGTAGTTGAGGTCTATATTTGCACTCTTTTTGTTAACTGCAGATAAATATTACTTATAAGTGGTTTTACTACAGAGGTATGAACTCAAAACGTAGTGAGAGCTGTTTATGCTGAACACCAGAGGGAGCTGGAAATTGTACAATTTATAGAGATCTTCAGACTACTGAAAGAACAGACTGGAAATTGCTAATTATATTATCATGTGAAATGGAGGACATTCATAGGGTTGTCTGCCTCACCTACCATTCTTGCAGGCCCACTATGTTATAGTTATCTTATACAATTTCTTTTATACTCCATGATGAATTTGTCTTGAATCTGTTGTTCAATTTGTTTTCAGAATAAATAAATGAGTGACTGGTAATATAATATTGAACAATTCAGTCAAGTTTTCATAAAGTTATGCTCGCTTGAATGGTGTTTTTTTAGGGGTCACAGCTCACAAACGCAAAGAGTTAATGTGTTCACCCATCACATGAAAACACACTAACTTTCAGTAAGTCAGTTTTGCCATGTCTTATGTCTATGGACAAGATGGTGTTCAGTTTAAACAGGTGTTATTACATAGTTTTGACAAGTTTCTCCATTTCTGTCAATTCAAGGTGTTGTGTAAGTAAATGATATGCAAATACAAGGCATTTATAGTACAATAATTAGTTACCGGAGTATGTGAGGTTCTTGAGTTTAAGATAAGTTACTAGGTACTGTGAAAGTCAAATAAAAGAAAACACATATGTGATCCTGATTTTAAAATAGAACCAATACACATAAGGCAATCTCTTGCATGCAATAACATCAATGTGCATATCTGGTGGTACTCTGTGGAGCTTCACTCATCACATTTTTTTATAAACCTGAAAAAAAATTGCAGAATATTACGTATTTCCTCAGAATGTCTACCATTTTTTGTGAAATAATGATCCTACAAATGTACTTCACCAATTATATACCCATTATCACCTTAATATTGTGTACAATAAAAATGCCTGATCAAAAACTGCCCTCACCAGCCAGACTCTGAAATGTTTTGACAGCCCTCTGGTGTCAGTATTGGGAAGACATAATGTTGTATTTCAAAATTTAAAAGAAGTGGAATTTTAATGAGAGAATTAAGACTCCATTCAACAGAAATGAAAGTTCAGCTTTAAAATGTCACACCAGCGATAGTTGAGAAGAAAAGCAGTTTTGTACAGAAACGAAGATCAGACATTTTAACCAAAATAAATATTTAAAATTGATGAATTAGGAATTAACACAAGATTACAAACACTGTGATATAAACTTATGAATACAATGATTGGAATAATGTTAATACATAAATTGATAAGGACACCCATGATTAATTTAATGATAAAGCCTGTGAGCGTCTGGACACCATGACTTAATAAATCACCCAAACCAAACATTTTCTGCATCTCAATAGAACTCAAATGGCTGCTAAGACCTTGTTGATAAAGAGACACAAGACATGTTTATGGCCTGTCAAATAGTCTGCCATTCCTCATGCCCACTATTCCAAATACAATATCACAGTTACATAGGTTGAGAGGACAGTAAACATAACGAAAACAAAATGTCAGGCAACTCTCTCATTCTCAACAAGATTTTGGATGTCATTTGCATATAAGGTCATTAGTATGACCCTAGAATCCTAAAATTATGTTTAGTTTTCAATTTGGTTCTAATCTCCATAGCTATGGATCCATTAATTACAATTTTCCATCTGGGATCAATCATCCATTCAAACCAAAATATTTAATAACTTAAGATCATCATTACAGGGTAGCTTCATTTATTTTTGATAATTAGTATTAATTAACATATTGGAAATACAGAGCTATGGGTATTATTTGACTCTTTTCATGTAATTTGAGTAATGCCTATGTATGACAATTAGTAATTTCCCATCACAGTCAGCTAATGGCTGTAGATTTGATTGTTTGAATAAAACAACTGTCAGTGTATTTTATTTCTCAAAACGCTTATGACATCACACAGCATGTGTGGATGTTTGGCTGATATATTACTAGCATCAAAGCTAGGGGTAAGTAGAGTGGTGTATATTGAGTGGAAAGCTGCAT